ACAAAGAAAATAGTACAAAAACCCATGTTTAACACTAAATATCAATACATAAAATATTTTCCAACATTGCATAATTTAAAAATGCACTGTCATCGTGTTTAAAGGTTCAAGTCAACCATGTTACAATAAAATTCTACACACTGTACCTTTAATGAGATAGAAAAATGAAAACCTATTAAAACAAGAAAAATCATTGTGGTGTCTGAAATGCCATCTGTTTTGTTCTCTTTCAATGAAGTTGATCTATGGGTCTGAAGCCCATAGATCCTGAGGATTCGGAGGGTCATAAGTTTAGGCTTTCAGAGGAAAACTGAACATATACGTTAGGGCATTAGATCACGGCTCTAACGGTCACTCTAAATTTTAGCTGGCGCCTTTCCCTATCTGTTACCAGGCAGATGAGGAGGGCTGGAGGAAAGCCAGATGTGTTTTCCTGAGGTTTACGACAACATCTCTCATACAGGGAGTTGAATCTGTTAGGCAGAAGAGATTCACATTGGCCCCGAATCTCTCTCTAGGCAGACTGCAGTGCTTGTATTGATGCTGAACTTTTTGTAATAAACCTTTTATACAATGAAGACGGTTTCCTTCATCATCTTCACATCATCGCTACCACAATGTACAACATCAGTAAGATTACAGAAAACTGTAGAAGCCAAAGGAAAATATAGAGATTCAGCAGATATATTCATTATCCATTGTTTTCTCTTCTCATTCTTATCAACAGTAGTGTTCATTGCAAGTGGCTTCACATCACAAGTGATTGTCAGTATAATTTAATTGTCCTTCACAAGTGATCATCCTTTAGTTTCAGCATTGTCTCCAGCTCTGATGCCTTAAAGCAGAACAAAAAGTGAAAGAAGATTTTGGATAGAATAAATAGAAAGGGGAAAACTGGAAGATGAGATTTGTCTTTTTCCTGAAATGTGAAAAAGGATGTTAAGGTGAAAGCACTTTTAGCTGAAACCAAACATTTCTTTTCAAACCTGTGACCGTTAGAGGATATGTGTTGATACCGGATACACATATTAGAACAAGACTCTATCACATTTGACCAATGTTAGTGAAACATTCAAACCACAAATGGAACATCAGTGAAACTACCATGACACCATAGAGGAAAATAAATGAACTGATGCTTTCATTTTTGTACTGAGCACTCTCTCATGTGAGTTGATTCTGTGGAGACTGTCTTTAACCAACAATAGCACCACCTACACTGTGCATTGCCCCACGATCACAAATATATCTAAGTTTATTTGAATAAAGTCAATCAGAAACTGTTAAAATAGCAACAATCTTTTGAATTTACTTTATGTTCCTCATTGTGGCAGAAGGGATGTAATTTGTCATGATTTCATTGAAATACCAGGTCCACATATTGAGTTCAGTGTCTAAATATGCAAATATAAAATAAGATACCTGTCATCATTTAACTAGATGTCTTTTTTTCTTAACAGGACTAAATACAGAAAAGAAGAGGTTTTCTCTATTCACTAGACAATTTACTTAAACATACAGGGACCTGGCTCTGTTTTTTTATTTTGAAGAATAATTAAAATAACCCTCCTGATGGGCATGGTACTGGCAAATCAAGTCTACACAGGTACTGGCTGCACTTGTCTCAGTCAGATTTAGAAACCCTCACCTTCAAATGTCAACTCAAATAGATAGAATCTTTTATTTTCCAAAACCTGACAATATCTCTCCATAATATCTATCCATGTATGTGTGTATGTATTCATTTGCTGCACACATTAAAAGCTCTATTAAAAGTTTGATGTAGAAGTTTGATTGTTTGCTGGTTTACTTTCTTTGATGTTTTATTCTCATACATAAAATCAAATGTATTTCTATTCATCTAAAATCTGTTCTAATGATTTTGGACACACTGTGGTTGAAAGGCTAATTTTGGAATGAGTGACCGTTTCTTTCTCTCTTGTGGTCTCCTGAAGTTTCACTTTCCACTCGCAAAAAAATTCCCTTGATGACAACGAGGAAGAGGTGTGTGGCTGAAGGATGTATTTAAGGCGACCCCGCAGCCTCTACCCCTCACAGTGCTCTGTCAACACACTTGGCTTCCTTTAACACTCACTGGTCTCACCACAGATCACTTCTATCACCAACAGCAGCATCTGTGTCATCTCGACCGAAGAGGAAACCAACAATGTCCGGCCTCATCAAAGTGCTCCTGCTCCTGGCTGCTGCTGTCTGCATCTCTACAGCCATGCGTAAGTTTTCAATCTCCCGTCTCACCATGTTGGAGCTGGAAGCTGTGATTGACCATTTTGTTTTTTCTTCCTCTACAGCTAACGAAGCCGGACAGAACTGTCTGTGTCAGAAGACCTCTAATACCACTGACGGGTCAAAGTTAAAGGACATCCAGATCTACCCGGCAACCAATTTCTGTGACAGAGTGGAGATTGTGTAAGACACTTTTTTATAAGAATGTGGGATGTGATGAGGAGACACTATAGCTCAGACATTTAGACATGATTGAAACTGTTTACAGGCAGATCACAATTTCAGAATATAACTTTTATTTATTATATTATATTATATTTATTCATCCATTGTGTTTTTTAAATGACCTTATCTATTTTTGTCCACCTGAACAGTGTCACCACCAGGGCAGGCCGTCGCTACTGCCTGAACCCCCAGTCAAAAGTAGTGAAAGATAGATTGATTCGCATCATGTGAGTATACACACAACACAGGCCTGAATCAAAGTCTCAACTTCAGACCACAATGACAGTAATTAGTCACATAATCCAATTCATCAAACCACTGGGATGTGTCTAATGTTTCTCTCCTTGTTTTACTGTCTCCTCCAGCAAAAAACCCAGTCTGTCCAGCTGATTTTCCTTCCAATGGCAACATGTGGTTCTCTTTCACTCCTTCGATAAACATATGACCTCTGACCCTCTAACGAAAGCACTTTCAGTGAATGTAGACGTGAAATGAATTCAAATTTTTATCTATTTATCGTCTATTTATATTGATTTCTCTGTTTTATCTTACTTTCTCTGATTTGTTTTGTAAACAGATTTGTATTATATGTTTTCTCTGCATGTTGGTAACTTTTTTTAAATAATAAAAAATGAAAAAAAATCAATGGAGCATTGAGTAATGGTTTGATAAGGTTTGTGTCTTATATCAACAGTGCTATCTTGTGGTTCAGGGCTGCTAATGCAAACGTGCCGGCTGACATGTCCAGCGATCTCACGCAGGCTTAGGTTGCAAAGCATGAAACCTCCCAGGGAGTTAGTCTCTAAGGAGTCTCGTAGTCACGGAGAATTGGTCTTACTATAGTGTGCACATGTATCAGAAACCAGGGGACAACAAAGCTGCAGGCAGAGATTACAGGTCAACAACCCCCCACCTGTGTGTGACAAGGGGCGGCTTATTTGGCTTGAGTCTCATAGGCTGTGATCATCTACACCCATCACACACACACACACACACACACACACACACACACGCACGCACTTAAACACCTTCACCTAAAATAATGTCTGCACCTTAAAATTTAATGATTTACATTTATGTGACTTGTTTTTCCCCCCACAAAGTCCCCATAATGTGAATGTATAATAATATAATATAGTACCTGGACCACCACACACACACACACACACACACACACACACACACACAGGTTTGCACTGCAATCCTTATTTTTTGCATTGACTTCCATTCATTGTTAACAGCCAAGCCAAAAACTTATCCTGAACCTTGACCAAACTGATATTCACATCTTGCCTCTAACATCAACCAGGAAATCACATTATGCATCACTGAGACCAGGTTTTTGTTCCAGGTAGGTCTCCTTGTCCAACGTCAGTGTTGCATTTTACTGGAAAAGGTCCTACATGGGTCACCAAAACATGAACACACACAAAGTTTACTCTAACCTTGAATCATGTTTTCACCTCAGAATTTCATGATGTGACTTGTTTTTGTCCCCGTAATGGAAAGAGAAACCCCCATAGTGTGAGTGTGTAAATAGATTTAGGTCCACACATCGTGAGTGATATCTGGAGTGCACACACACTCACGCACACACTCAGTTGTGTGTCCATAACTTCACCTTAAACCTAAACCTTAAACTTAAGCCTGAGCTAAACCTAACCTTGAATCATGTCTTCACCTTAGAGATCGATGTGACTTGTTTTTGTCCCAATAATGGAAAGACAAGCCATTAAACCAAGTCTTAACCCTCAAGCAGCCCACTGAATTTGTGCGGACCAACCACAATGTCGTCACAATGATGGTATTGAACCAAAATTGGCCCCCATAACTAGAGATAGACATACACACACGCTAACACACAATCGTGTTTCCATGACTTCAGAAGAAAACACATTGATATCATGGAAACGTAGTCCCCTCTTGCCTAACCTTAACTAAACTTAAACTTAACCCTAAACGTAACCCTAACCTAGTTCTTAGAACAAGCCTCAACTTTTAACTTGGAGGACAAGTTCCCATACTATGACTGATTCTGGTCCCTGCAATATGAGTAATACCAGAAACACACACACACACACTGAGCAGACTTATGTTTATGTTCTTGGATTTAAATTATTTGTTTTCTTCATATCTTCACATATTTGAAAACGATGACACGTGTCGACAGTGTCGATGCATTATTCCCAAAATGCAGCAGGACTTTCGACTCATCACTTCCGCCGCCGGCTGCTGTTGCTGGTGCGTTCACTGTCGCTGCGTGTTTGCGGCTCCCGGCTCCGCTGTTTACTCTCCTCGTGTCCAAAAGTCATGGATGAGGCGAACGTCAAACACACGCACAGCATCTGTCCCTTCACTCCGTCTCACCTGGAAGACTTTGGCAAAGACATCGCTGCAGCTGCTGAGTAATCGGTGCAGCGGAGGAGGCACTTTGAGGTAAATGTTTACAATGAGTGCGTGACGAGCTGTTAACGTGAACGCAGCAGATGACTGGACATTCTTATATCACTGGATATTCTTGTTGTATTGTAATGCAAAGAGAGTTTTAGTGGAAGATGCACACACATCAGAGTGGCTCTTGTTATTATAGGCTCATTCCACTGTGTATTCCAGCCTAACTATGGTGTGATTCCCTGTTTTGCAAGTCACTCTCTGTGTCTGTCCCCAGAGCTGACGTGAACAACTCAACTCAGGAGCAGATTTCTGCCACCATTCAAGTCAGTGAGGGCAAAGTGAGCTCAGCCAAATCTTAGAATGATTGCTGACAACACATGCAGACAGCTTCATCACTACACAAGAGACACTGAAGGGAGCTTTCTTGTGTTTCCTTTATTCTGTAGTTTCATTTCCTTGTGAAAATGATCCTGCTGTAGTTCATAGAAGTGGAGGAGGATTCTGACATTAACTGATATTGATGACGCTGCTGTAACCAGACTCTGGTTCTATTTGGAGCGAGTCGGAAAACAGCTCTGTGTGCTTGCTCTCTGACTTAACCATGCTCAGTGGTGGGATGGAACATAGTACATTTACTTTTATTTTATTTTATCATCACTTTTACTCCACTACATTTTTAGCAAAAACCTGTATTTCTACCCTATTACATTTTTACACCATAACGAAGACTGTTGCATTAGTGAGTAGGCTAAACTCAGAAAGTACTTTTAATACTTTGTATATTTAGAAGCAAATATTTACTTTTACTTGAGTTTATGTGTTTGTTCTTTGTTTTAACTTTTGCTGGAGTTTATTCTCGTGTATTTATTTGTTCATTTACTCAAGTAAAATGTTTTCTTTCATTTATTATGTCTGAGATGACAGCGCTTAAGTGTTGTTCTTGCAATACACACATTGCATTTAGATGAGCATGACCTTTTTGTCTGTCAACTGACCCTGTGTCTATGTGTGATGTCATGTGATGCAGTGCTCAGGTTCGCAGTCCAAAGTCCAACCGAGCTGACCCCACACTGTGAGTCTCCTGTGGCCCTCCACTCTCATCTAGTGTCAAAATGGCCTCAAGACGGGGAGAAATTCCAGGTAATGTGGAATTTAAGATTTGACAGATTATCATACATAATTCGATCTGAGTAAAAATACTTTTTTCTGCATTGTTTTGTGTAGATATCTGAAATGGTGCCTTTATGGGTTTGGAAAACACAGTTCTAACTGGTCTATTCATTTCCATATTTCAGCGCTTGAGTCAGGCACGTCGTCCTCACTCTTTGGTACTTTATCCTCTCCTCTTGGAATGACTCGGCGCAATATCAGCTATGACGAGATCATGGATACACCCATGCATTCACCACCCCCAGACCTAACTGTCAACATCTTATGGAAAGACCCAGTCATCCCACAGCACAAGTTCAGAAACACATCAGAGGTGTTTTCCTGTTTTATTTTGGTTTCTATCCACACCAAACTGTTTTGGCAACATGAACTGGTTACCTGAACAAAATGTTGCGTGATCTGTCTCTTGTCAAACATGTTTTCTTTGAGGTTTGGTGCATGCTGGTACTACTTGTCAACTTGCTTGCATGTCGATTCTCTAATTGTTTTACACATTCATCTTAACCACTTCAAATTGTGTGACTATAGGGGGATGAGATGGGTGTGAAGATGGTGACTTTTGAGGCTGCAGCGCCAGCCAAGTCCCCTGTGCCTGTGGTGAAAGCCAAAGCCACATCTTTAATGAGCTCACTTATGATCAGTAAGTAAAAATTAAAAACATGTAAACTCATTACATTTATTTATTCATTTTTAAAATGAATATTTATTTTCATTTTAAAAATGATGACCATTTATTTTCATTTTTAAAAATATCTTAACACACAGACCCAGAAAAACAAGTTTAATAAACAATCTTCAGAGTGTCAGGAGACTATATTGTAGTGTGGTACAAGCACAGACTAATTGTACCTCTATTGCTGACACTATGTCTGTCTTCACTTAGAGCAAAGCCAGGAGAACCTCCAGAGGTTTGAGCACCAGGCAGGGCTGACTGACACTGGGTACTCTCCCCACAAAGGCCTCTCCGCTGAGGAGACTTGCTTTCACCGACTGAGTGACGGCACAGTACCAGTGAGTAAAAACCAATGTGAACTGTAGCAGCTTGATTTGTGCGTGTGTGAGAAGTTTGTGATCTGAAATAATCATCTCTTCACACCGTCACATGGCATGTTATAATGTTGAGGTCACAGGTCAGATTATGATGACATTGTTTTTTTTAGAATTAGAACAGAGTAATAAAACAAAGATTCTAGCGATATAATTTTCATCAATACCAATACGAGAAAAGTCCAATGCATATGATTCTTAAAAATGGTGCACAATGAGGAGGTATAGCTCATCATTGATCCACCTTCGATTTGTAAAATGTTTTTACACTAGAGTTCAATCTCCTTTTATTCAAGTGCAACAGAGTGATGTGTGCGTGTGTTATTCCGGTCTCTCTGCCACCCTCATGGTCCTGTTTTACCTGATATCAGATGACCGGTCACAACATCACACGTTGCTTTGTAATGTTTAACACGTGAGATCACATGCACATAGTGTGAGGATTATATTCCCACTGACAGAGCAGCTCTACCTGTGTCATTAACAGGTATTATTGTGGTGAATCATATGGTGATAATCCTGCAGACTGCACGCTAAACATGGTAAACAAATTACGTAATCGGCCTCTCTGTGCGGGTCCATATGACCAGGGTTGCCAGGCAACGCCCTAAAATGGGACGAGCCCCCTTGTTTTCTTAAGCGGACCAATCACCGGGCTCCTCTCATAACGGGCTTCTCTGAGGCCGACAGCGGTTTGTACTGACGCTATCGTCGTAAATAACAATCCCTTAACTTCCATTAACCGCCAGCCATGGACAAAATGAAGGAACATGTCGGAGTGGAGCGTCAAAGAAAACTAATCATAAAAAGGTTTGTGAAGAAGCTGCTGTAGCAGTAAGCTAACTCTTCCTCTGAAGGGAAACAGGCCGCTGGCTGGCTAGCTAGCTAGCTGGCCTTCAAGCTAACCATGGTAAACAAACTCGTTCCTGTAAAACATTATCAGCCTTCGTCCACCTGGGTTAAAAACACTGTGACGCTTTATAACGGAACCAGAAACAATGACAATGGCGTAAACTGTGGCTCTTTAACTTCAGCTTGCTACATAGCTCGATGGATTAATGTTATGTGATGGATGCATGTTATCTTGCAGTCCAGCTACAGTTAGCTTAGCAACCGCTAACCAGCGTGTATGCTACACTTAACGGTGACATTGCGTGATGTGAATTGGAACTACAGCATAACACAAGAATTGGGGGAAAATCCCGTGACAGATTTAAATGAATTATGTTTCCATCTCACTGTTCACCCCCCGTGTAGGCCCATCGTGCAGTGTGATGTTCACATCTGGTTTAACCATCTGGGGCTGGTTTACTTTGACATTTCGTTCAGGTTAACATTAAAAACGAGGCGTGAATGTTTGCCTGCATTGTGCCATGCTTATGTAACATTCAGAATTAGTTGCATCAAGCTCTCTGCACTGTAAGGCCATCAATAGCAAATAGCATCACCTGAATCCTCCCACCAGTCAGTTAGAGGTGAAGAAGCTTCTCAGGTGAGAAATAATCAACCCCTGAAGATTTAATACGACATCCTGCTACTCAGCTTTCACCTCTCTGTCACTGTTTAAAGTCAATGAGTTGATCTTTTTTGCAATTGTTATTGTCTGAAAAAGACTAATTCTAGCTGAAACGACAACTAACTCAAATTTCTATATATGGCCACTCAAAGTCAGAGTGCCCCTGAAAGAAGTTTGAATTTTGTTTCGAGCACATATCTCCCTTAATAGTGATCCGAGACGCTTACAATTTCGGTTCCATAGGCTTCACATGTGATCCAATCAAAGATCTGTGACAGCGTGGCCCAAAAGTGTCATGATTTGACAGAGATTGACCTACATGTTTTTTGTCCCTCCTTCCCTTTATAAATCAATCAGAAATTGGTTTAACTTTAACTACATTTGATGTACTTTGGCTGAGGTCCATTGGGGCTGGAGCAGTGATGAAATCTAATGGGATGCCAACCCAAAAAGGTTTAAAAGGCTCTGTGGTGCATGTTGTTATTCATTTCCACCATGACCGCTGTCCTAAGCAGAATACAGGACCACATATACAAGACTGACATGAGTTTGGAAAGACATACAGCTCATGGATGGGAATATTCCTGCATTGAATGGAAGCTTACCTTTCAAAACATTCTTCCAGATATCATTACTGAAATAAATCTTGATTTCAAGGCAAGTACTTTTGAAATGTATTCAGCATGTCAGTTTTGTCTATCTAAAACTGCATATTCATTGTTTGACTAGAAGAGGAAAACCACACCAGGTGCTATTCTCTCCGACTGGTGGTTTTGCAGGTGGAGTCCGTTTTAAGCAATAATCATTTATTGCAGGACTGACCTCAATGTAATACAACTTATTAGGCTTAGTGCTGATCAGCTTGTTGTTTAATGACAGCATGTGTTTCACCATCAGATAACCATAATTGTATTAGAGAGGTCCTCTGTGTGTCTTCTGTCTTTTGCCGCCCACACCACATGGTCAACAGAGATAGGTTCTGAGGCTCTGTGACGCACTTTGTTATTATAATTTTTGATCTACTGGTCCAGAAAAACACTGCTGACCTTTCGTGATGTGTGTTCGTGGAGTGTTTACTCTTTAAATAAGATCAATGCTGACTTTCTGACACACCTCTGACACTGTTAACTGCTAAACTCGCAGACATGAGTGGGAAATGCTATTTGTACAGGACACATAAGTCACTTTCTAAATCACTTTCTAATGTACATTATGATTTTGGACCAGTGAAGGACATTCCTTCATTCCATGTTTGTTGAATTGCTTGTTTTTCTGTCTTTGCAGAAGTTGAGAATGCCAAGTGGGGACTTCAAAGAGGACAGGCTAACAACATCAGCACAATCCACCCCAAGTTGTACCCCTTCTGTCACCCCCTGCGTCACCCCCTGCGTCACCCCCTGTGTCACCCCCCACTCATCACCGGCTGTCAATCGCAGGTAGGCTTCATGCTTCTGAAACGATTTGCTGTCACTCTTATTTTGATGTAATCCCTGACAGAAAATCTACTGTTATAATGAGTGGAACCAGATGTCCTAAGCACAACATGCTTCATTTCCCAGCATTAGCTATACACCAGTAATCATTAAAGCCACTTATTGTTTTAATATTGTGTCTGTTTTGTGTATGAGATTCTATAAAGCGTATCCTTCACATTTTCTTTTATGCTCATTGTTTGGTGGGATTATAGGACCTGGTTACAGCTGAGTCCTGCACCTTTTCTTGCCAACCCAGAGCACAGTCCAAACCTAAGCACAGACATGGGAGGAAATGAAGGAGGAGGAGATAGGTGGACCTTCTTCGGAACTCAATCTGTGGTACAGAAGTCCCCCACCGACCCCGGCTCTGAAACCAGCAAAGGTGAGCGATCTTATATCTGTACACTCTATTGATGACTGTATTGCAATATTTACAGAATAGATTCTCTCAGCAGTAGGTTAACCCCACAGCACGACAAACTGTGGCGAAGCATCAGTGTTTTGTGTTTTCTGCGAATGCAATAATGTTGGTTCACTGCCACCAGTGAACCCTGTGCAGTTCAAAGCAGTTCAGCATTATGTTGAAACCACAATCTGCGATCCAAACTTTGTTTGTTATTTTAACACAACAACATTAACACATAATGCTGGGTGTGGTTTATAGGTTTGACATTTTTGCACCTTAAACCACACCCAGCAGTGATATCATGGGGTCCTGGAGCACACCTGTCATCACCCCTGCAGCAAGGTGAAACAACAAGACTTTCAGGGAGTGGTGAAGCTGTTCTTTAAATTCACAACGGTTAAGCTGATGACTTTAACAGCCACATTTTGGTAAATGATGACAACATCTTCCACTTCCCTCCTGCAGGCTTTTCATTACGGTCTTACTTTGGCCTGCAGAAGTCCTCGACCATGGATGGCACCAACACCCAAATCAACCTCAATGTGCAGGACCCTGCCAACTTCATGCCCCCCAAGATTGATATCTCGGGCATTGAGACCAAGCAGATGCCCCCACGGCCACACAAACTAAAACCTCGGGACATGAATGTTTTAACACCTTCGGGCTTCTGAAGCCACACTTGCTGTGCTGTTACTTCCTGTACCACATAGTCACCATTTCCTCCCCTCTGTCTAGTTGCTCATTTGCTTCCCTTTCTTCCACTGACCCCTCATCCTCCTTGCACTGAGACCGAGGAATGAGGACCACCTATAGTATTAGCTCACTAGCCCCAGAGACATCACCGCACTGTTACTGCTCCCAGCAGACCTATTGCCATCAGTCCACGCCATCATCCCCTTCTTATCTCTTCCAACTCATTGGTCCAATTAAAACACCAAATTAAGTAATTTTATTTGTTATCCCCGAAAGATGTTACTGCTTTGTATTATTATAATTCTTGTTGTTGTTGTACTGTCAGGTAATGGGTGCACTAGAATGCATTGCCTTGCTTAACCCCATTCCATTGTCAGGTGTAGCATGAGATAGGAGTCATTCAAGTATTTTCTCAGTCCCTTGCTTCAGTTGATCACTTTAGCATTGCCTCTCAAGCTAACACGGACCAGCTATTTCAATTTCTAATGCTCTGTTGCCTCATTTGTACATTTTCTTTATTTTAAATAGGCTCACAGATTGTAATTGTGTAGTGATTCTGTCTGCTAGCATGCAGAGTATAATGTGGTATGACTGATACTGTGCCTAAACTTGCAGTGTGTATGATTTTGGCTTTCTTGCCATATGAGCTTTTGTTTTTGTACTACATGTAAGAGTGTCTTATTTTACTTTGACAGTATGACTGCTGACCTGATGTGATTTGTTTTGACTATTATTTCAACTTATTTTCACATTGATCTGCTTTAATTCAACATTGGTCATTCTTAATAGTAGGTATTGCATAAGGTTTATAATTTATACATGGCACTACAATTTAGTTAAACATGCTTGAAGTGGCCACTTTCAATTTTGTGTGTGTGTGTGTGTGCCACAATTCATGAATCTCTGCTATTTTATTTGAAAGAGTTGATTAAGATGATGTAATTGCACAAAGGAGCTTTTATCCTTCTCACATCTGAAAATAAATCTGATGGTAATGAGCAACAATTCCTCCTTGTTTTTTCCCTTGATGGCATTATTTGAAAATGGATTTACAGTCACATACTCCCATGTTATACCATCACCCACAACATGTTAACAATATTGTGTGCTTTATCACAGGGAAACTGTTTTGTCTTTAGCGTCTGAATATGGCAGCTCTTTCTGTAAAGTAACATGCTCTCGACTGAAAGACTTTTGAGTGTGACACTGGACTGCCCCCTATGTTTTCACATTTGCTTCAGAAATCAGACTACAAAAGCTTTTGAACTGTCCTGTAAATCAAACTGAACTGTCGTTTGGTTTTAATAGAGGCTAATGATAATAATAGTAATAATAATAATTGCCCTTCGAAGGGAAATTAATTTGTCACAGCAGCAGGTACAGAGACAAAAACACAAAACAAAATACATAGTATACACAATCATTGCAAACAAGTTATAGTTTTATATGTTGTGTTAACTGCAGTCTTTGTCCACAAGATGGTGCAATAACATCACAATGAAATCACTGGGTTGTTCTAAATCTAGGTTTTACCTTTGTATTCATTAATGTGTTCTTTTATTTCAGGCTGTTATTAGATAAGAATCATGGGCAGCAGAGTGAATATTGCACTCAAATAAACCATTAAATAAACCATGATATTATTTTCCCTAAAATTAAAACTGTGTTAGATAATCAGAAAATTAATTTCCTCCACCACTCAATCATGGTGACAGAGGTGTGTAGAACCAGAAAGACAAGATGAGTTTCTGTGTATACTAGTTTATCAGGTCATCTGCTGCGTACGAACATATATCCTGCCTCGTTACCACACAACAGCTAAATATTATCCCTTCACATCAAAGCAAACATTCAAGCCATCAGGAAGCAGAAACATTAAAGAGCGGGGTCTGATCCCCTATAGGCTCAGCCACGAAGCAGCAAGATTTATAGCCCCGTAAAAACTCTGATGCTGTGTTCAGCAGCAGCATGTGTGCATGGGCCGGATTTGTACAGGCTGTGCCATTACTGTGTCATTACTTACAACTTCACACTAAACATTTATACTCTACTTATTTATTATGTTGTACTTATTTATTGTCTATGTGAATAATGAATCCTCCATGGATGACACATTTTTCTCTGGATGTGCTGCTCTAAGCAAGGCCTGTTGCAAAACTTTCGCCCTCAGTGACTTTAAATATTTGACTCTCAGTTACTCAGAAATTAGCTGGAACTTCTAAAAGACGTCCACTTTTGGATTTAATTACAGGCCACTGAGCGTCCAAGTCTGGTTTTCAGATGGTTAGACAGGAACAAAGGTGAGTGTCCGATCAGACGGGCAAGTGCAGACAGAAAACTGTCAGTCAGGGGCTGGACAGATGACACAAAATGAAAAGCAGGAAGAGGATGAAGTGCAGGGAATTTGGTAAAGCTACAAATTTGAGATTTTTAGTTTTCAGTCACATTTCTGCATGTAACAGCATATAAACTAAAACAGAGATAACTGTCACTCTATCGATCAAACTTTATTTATATAGCACCTCTTAAACAAGACAGTTGCAGTTGGAAGTGATTTACATACATGGGACCAAATGTGTCTCAACACTAAACCAAAAACACAGCACAGGAGGAGGAGAAGAGGGTGGGGGACACTGGTGGGGAGTGAAACACAGGAACAAGGAAATAGAGAGCAAAGGGTGGAGTGCCCATGCAGCCATGACATAATACAGATGTCTCTCTCTCTCTTTCTCTCTCTGGGTCCGACATGATGTGGTTTGTGTGAGAGAGAGAGAGAGAGACACCCCCCCCTCCCTGCTCCCCACCTCGGCTCTGATCCCACAGAAATCATTTAGCTCACTCACAGATGTGCAAAGCTGCTCACCAAAACAAACACGATGGCCTCATCTGCAATCTGACGTGACTCACTCACTTACTCATTTGTAGGGTTTTTTTCCCCTTTATTGAAAAAATGGTCTGACCAAATTGTTTCCCTAACAATCTGAAAACAATGACTTTCCCTCCAAAGACTGTGATTGAATTCCTCACACCCAGATGACACAAACTTCCTCTTGCCCGTTTTTTGTCGAACAACCATAATGTGGACAGGGAGCAATTCCAGTGCTTGTCTACAAAAAACGAATTCAGGTTTACGTCTGTTAGTGATAATACGCCTGGAAAAACCCCATTAAGAGAATAAAAGCACTCTGCATACAGGTCAGCTTAGAGGAACATTGTGTGAACTTTCATCTAACATGGAGGAGTGTTGGAAGATTTCATGTCAGGGTGACTCAAGGACTGTGCCAGGAGGTTCTTCCACCAGTGCGTACAGTGGATTGCTGCGCTGCTGATACCTGACCCACACAGAGAAAGTATTTTCAAAGTTTTTTAAAAGGCTCCGTGTCACAAAGCATATGGTACTCTGGTGTTTTCTGTATTATCAGCTGTAGATGACAGGTTGCTTGCTAAGCTAATAAGAGGCTGAGTCAGATTTTCTTGAGGTACAGTACAGATATTGATAAGATAATAGCTACATATGACAGACGAGGCCTTTTTGATATTTATTTACAGTCCCCAAGTTATACATACAGTTGCTCTCACTGTTCATATTTCTCTTTAGGCATCGATTATACCTCCCCAAATTTAAAAAAAGCATTTTAAAACAACCTCAATCCGGATACAGGTTTTAGCTCCGTCCAGAAAACAAATATCACATGGCACGTTCATGTACACTGAACATACGTGTGCTGATGTAAGAGAGGAAGCACGTTACCTATATCGTCCTTTGCCTTGTGTCGGAAAATACTTTAATCAAGGAAGAGCTATATCGAAATATAAGGGCAGCGATTCTCGTACAGTAAGTTTGAAGCATTTCCTGCCGGTAATAATAACTGATAAGACCCAATTAGCATACGATCTGGGTAACTGTTTCCACCCATAAAGACTAAAATGGAGCTGGCAGCATCAACAAAGTTCACAGTTTTATTGGCATGAAAACTCCAGTGTGGACTCCAGGAATACCTGTAGCCTTAGATAAGATCATTACCTTCACTCACCCCTCAGCTGCTCACCTACAGGCTTTATACCTCCGCTTAGTTTTTGTTTTGTGTGCTGATGAAGGAGTTATTCAGATACATTTGGAAAATAACTGACAGGGTCCTTCAGCTAATAATTGATTGATGATGTTAGATGCCCTTTAGACCCAATTGCCTGCTCTGACTTAATTACCTCAGGTTGTAAAAAAGTGATCGTTAGCTACATCTGTCTGCTCCTCTGATATGTCAGAGGTATTCTTCGGCAAAATAACACACGCAAATTGGCGATATTGGTTCCTCAGAACTAGGGTTGGTCATTCTGAAAAAGTTAACAAAAGCACCAACCCTCCCTTTGACATTGGTACACTACAGTTCCAAAGTGGATATTGAAAGATGTTTTCTTCACGCCTGTTTGTCTAACAAGCATCATCCAGCCATGGTGATGTTGTTTTTTCAGAGTTAATCTGGTTATTCATGGCATGACACAAACAGCTGGTGACCAAACTTACTCATGGCTTTGAAGGGGGGGGGGGGGGTCCCTTTGCTGTTGGGTGGGTTCTCTGTGTCATGTGTGACGCCAACTGAATCCAGAACCACATCTGGGGCTGATTCACAGTGACATGGCCCGGAGGTGAACCCTCTAAGCTGGGAGGAGCTTTGAGAGAGGATGGGGGGGAACTGATGGGCTGCGGACATGGGGTAATGCACATTTTGTATGTACACGCTCTGTGTCGACCATGTGACGCTGGAGAATACGCACCAAACACGCATGACGTTGCAGTGAAGTAACAAAAAAACAGCACATTTCATGTAAAGCGAATAGAAATGGTCACAAGCAGATTATTTTCTGTCACCAGTATGTGACGCTGTGGCTAGGATGTAATATTTGCATGTCTGCAACTAAATATTTCTAAAATTTCTAAACATACAGTATATGTATCATGGCCTGAATGGTGAAAGCAACGATCCCCACAGATCTCACAAACATCCACTTAACATAACAGCAACATGACTCTGTCGGATGGCCTTGCCCGAGCCCACTCACCACAGAAATTCTCACCACTTCTGACATGTCTGCCAATTTTCGTGAGATCCAATCATCCTAAACCCCTCAAATTACCTTGGTGCCATGGCCGGAACTGTCCCTGCTGTTTGGTCCCGAAACAGAACTTCATATAAAACTGTCAATGGAAAAACAAAAGTGATGTGCCAGCTATGGATGTGAAAAACTAAATGTATGCCAGTGAAGATAATCTATTTCAAAATAAACAGTATGCTGCTTTTGTACAGCAGTGTAACAAATGAATCATATGCATGTATTGTTTCTGTGTCTGTCTGTCTGTCTGTGAGTTTTTCTTGCTTCTCATGTTTATTTACTTACACAGAGCGAGGGCCGGTGATGTGTTGTGAAATATATTTTGTGTACTTTATGTTTCTGTTTGTTTGGTAGGTTTCACCTTTGAAAAAACAAAACATACGGTGTACTAAACCACTAAATGTTCTTGTTTTACACAACCCAGTTTCCAGCCTCTATTTGTGTGTCACTGTGCTATTCTTGAGGCATTCTCCCACCATCCCCCACTGAGACAGAGAGAGAGAGAGAGAGCGAAGCAGAGAGTTGTTGGGCCCTCCTGCACTGGCCCCCAGGCCCTAACATGAAGCAGATGTTGGGGAGATCACCCTACAACAAGGTCTGAGCAGTCAGCTGGAGGTGCTCAACTCAGCAGACATGCGTTTAGAAGCCACACACACACCGAGAGCTGCCGATGCCCCAACACCGAAGGAGAAAACTACCTGAAAGAACACACTGCCACATGTGTGTTTGTAAGAGACAGATGACTCATCTCATTTTACAATCAAAACCAAACTGTGCAGGCTGCAATGTGTTGAACATTAAGGTGTCTTGATTGCAGACCAGTGTTCATCAGTCAAAGTCATACATTGGGTGTGAATGGCAATTACATGTTTATCAGTCAAATTAGATATTGT